CGTTATCGTTACAGTAACGAGTAACGCGTTACAGTAACTTCGTTACTGCGTTACTGTAACTTTAACAACCCTGCTCTCCCCCCACCGCACGGAGCAGCTTCCGGCCGTACGACGACGACGTGGCTCCCCGGTCCTAAACGGGCGCAGCGAGATGAGGACGAGGCGCGACGAGGCGAGGCGCAGCGACACCCGACCCGGTCACCCCCCTGAGGGAAGCCCCGAGCGTGACCACCTCTTTAACCCTTTGCTGTTGTTGTTGTTGCAGATGCGAGGTGCGGCCCGGCCCGGAGTTCCTGCTGCGCTCCTACACGTTCCACCGCAACGGCACGTTCCGCCTGCTGCAGTTCCACTACGGCGAGGAGTCGTGCTCGCTGCCGCTGTACACCGTGTCGGCCAAGGGGCGCTACAAGGCGCGCGGCCGGTCCTGGCTCACGCCCGCCGCCACCGAGGCCGAGTACACGCTGACGAGGGTCACGGTGACGGCCCAGAGCGCCGAGGTGGCCGAGGAGCTGGCCGCCCGGGTGAACGCGACCTGCCCGGGCCAGGTGCGCCGCCGGTGGAAGCCGTACCGCGAGTACGTGGTGCTGAGCCTCAACGAGGACGGCGGCGACGTGCAGCAACCGCGCAACAACCTGCCGCCCAGCGAGCCGGCCCCGCACCACCACCACGGCCAGGTGCGCCTCATGTCCACCTCGGACGTGGACTGCCTGTCTGCGCTGCACGCCGCCTTCCACGAGCTGCAGCTTCTGCGGACGCAGCGCCGCCCCCACGGCCCCCGGTCCCGCGCCGCCGCCGCCGCCCCAAGGCACGAGCTGCTGCTCGGCGACGTGCATTCGCGGCCAGACCAGCGCGGCACCTACCGCCCCACCGCCTTCCAAGTGCCGCTGCTCCGCGCCGACCAGGTGAGAATGAGAACTCGACTCGCGGGGAGCTTACAGAGAGATATGTCACTTGGTATTCTCCTTCCGAATGCTGGACGGGCTGCGGTCCTCCTCCCACGCTGCGGGAAACTCTTTCATTCAGGTGGTCAGTCCGCCCGGCTGGGCCCCGCCCTGGCCCCCGCCCTGGCCCCCGCCGCGACACGTCCCCGCGCAGGGCATTGCTATGCCCGGAGGTGCCCGCGCCCCGCCCATCTGTATGCCGCGCGACACTCCACGCATCCACCCCCGCCGCCGCCGCCCCCCTGCCCGCGGCACCGCGCCCGCCGCGCCTCTTCGAGGTGACAGGCCCCCGGAAGCCGTGACAGCCATAGGCGACAGCCAGCATTGATTGATCCCGTCAGCGCGCCTCGGGTCCAGCCCCGCCTTGAGCCCCGCCCCCTGGACATCCAGATGGGCGGCGATAAAGCCGTCCTGTCAGGTCGTGGCACACTGTCACGTGACGTGTCACTGTCGCGACGGCGGCTGCCGTACGCCGCTATCTGGCTCCGCCCCCGCTTCCCGGGGGATGTCACCTCCTCGTCAGGGACACAATACGGACCGACGCCGCCCCTTGCAGCGCATTATAATTCCAGAACCGCAAAGCTCCTCCGGTCCCTCCCCGTTTCAGTTGCAATCAAACCGATTTTTTTCGGGGGCGAGTACGGTATGAGCAGTATAAGCGCGTCCAGCCAAAACATTTATTTCGCTCCGGTGCAAGACAGGGGGAGGGGCGACGTTGCCTACTCGGTTGGCAACACTGTGTGGAGCCCCGCTGTGGCAGCAGGCAGGCACTGCCCGCCTGCGCTGAGCGGCTCGTAAATGTAAATCTTGTCCGGAACGAATAAATACGCGACGACCTGACCAGCACCGTGTCCCGCTCCCGCTCGCCGGGGCCCCGGCCGGGCCGGGGGCCCCGTGTCCCGCAGGGACTCCTGCCGTACTCCTGCCCTTGCGCCGCCGCGCCGCTGCCGAGCGAATTCGGTGGAAAACCCTTTGAGCACACAGCGGGCCGGATTGTAAATCAGTTGGCCGGGCCGCGCCGCTCCGCCCCGCCGCAAAAAGGACCACGACGCGTCCGCCGCGCTCGCACACGGGCACGGCGGTGACGACCGTCTCGATAAATTATGCCAACGAACCCCGACCCCTATCCGGTATCTGTCCACAGAGGAGTTTTGCGACTCGGGCCCGGTCCATGCTCGGCGATATTTCACTCGCTGTAATGAAGCCCTCTCGAGTTGCCCTGCTGCGTTCAACCCCCCTGGACGCCCCTTGCTCATGCTCGTCCTGTTTTTTGCTTGCAGACCCACGGCTGCGACGTCTGCCACGCCGTCGCCCGCGCGTCCGAGCGCTCGCCTCCCATCCTGCACGCCCGGCCCCGCCTGCCGCCCTACCTCGGCGGCGACTGGGTGAGCAGCCGGTGCGAGACGCGGCCGCTGGGGCTGTTCCTTCGGCGCCGGCTGCGGGTGCGCGCTGCGGGGGCCGGGGCCGCCGGCGGCGACGCCTGGATGTCCTGGCAGGGCGAGTACGAGTTCTACTCGGACCCCTTCTGCACGACGCCCACCTTTACGGCCACCGAGGCTGGACGCTACGCCGTGGGCGGGCCGAGCTCGCAGGTCCTCGGCGCCCTGCAGGCCGACTTCCGCGTCGAGCGCGCCGCCCTCACCGTCCTGGACCCGGGCATGGTGGCCAGCCTGCGCGCGGACCCGCGCTGCGGCGGTGGCCTCGTCCTGGGCGAGTGGCAGGTGGGCGTGCCCCGGGACTTGACGGCGACGCACGGCTGCGCGCCGCTGGGACTCGTGGTGCCCACCGTCCGCTACGAGCTCGTGCGCGTCGACATGGACTCCTGGGGACAGTCGCTGCTCTTCCTCGGCCAGTCCGACACGGAGAACAGGCGCGGCGGGCCCTCGGAGCGGCCCACGGCCTACCAGCCTCCCTTGGTGCGCTGTCGGGGTCTTCCCCCGCCTGTGCCCGCCCTCAGCACGCTGCAGGACGCGGAGGACGACGATGACGATGACGATGATGAGAGCGATGCCGACGTAAGATTTGCCTTCTCCTCCAGCGCGCGGACAACTGCGTCCAGTTTGGTCGGTTTCCTTTTCGCCTTCGCTCTCTTGCGAGTTTAAAATGTGATATTAGTAATTAAACTTTGTGTGTGAGTGTGAGTTTTAGAGTGTGATCTATCGTTCTCTATCGTGTGAATGTTGTTTGCGAGTTTTGTAAATGTGTAGAATATGTGTTTGTGTGTGAAATATTAGAGCTGTATTTTCAAAAGCGTCCTCGGCTGTCCTCTTGCAAGGATCAGTGATGCATCTGAGAAATGAGACTGGTAATATTATTAGTGTATTTAGGTAGTAATCTAAAATGTGCCATTGTGTGCCATTGTGGAGAAACCCCTGTAATTCCAGATTCTTAGTACTTAGTTAGGTCTATGTTTATTCATCTGTTCATTCAGATAACCCGAGAAAACTGTACTCTGATTTATCTGTAAGTTAAAGTTTTAATTCGTAATTAAGTAGTTTATCGTGCAAGTCTGTCCCTACAGCTTACTCGAGCAACCCGTACTTTTTCCATAGTGTAATTGAGTTGTTTATTATATTTTTTTCCAGTATACTTTCCAGTATAGGCTGTGGAGAAACCCTTGTAATTACTTCTAAATTTATGGTTACATATTTGTATTTATATGTGACTGTAGGGAAATGTGCGTAGTTCCCAAAATGCTCACCCATTTCTGCATGTGGTCGTGGAGGAACACATGTAATTTCTGAATATTAGGATTAGGCCTACACATCTATTCATGTGTTGTAGGAGTAAACCCCTGTAATTCATTTTTAAGGCATCATTCTGTTTTTACAGATTACTCGAGCAACCCGTACTAGATGCATCAATTTATTCTTAATGAATGATTGAGGTAATTTAAGATATCAATTACGTTAAGTTTATTGTTAAGCTACAAAACATGGGAAAACCACGTCCCTTTGGTACAAACCCCCCAGTGAATTTTTGTACAGAAAAATTTGAGTGTTGTATCGTAAGTATCATAAGTAGTATTCTATAATGTTTCCATCTGTTACCATAAAATATATTGTAAATATATTGTTTGCAGCTAACTTGAAAAAGAAGCTTATACGAGTCTGTGACGTACTGTTGATTTGTACATACCTTTAAATACTTTTTCAAAATAATAACTTGTAGTCATTTGTGTTATATTTAGAATTTGTTCAGAGCAAATGTGTAAATTTGAGATTAATCCATTAGTGCAATGGATATGGATGAATTTTGACCTGTGAGCAGTATGTGGTTATTTTTATGCATGTTATTTATTGAATAAAATATTATTTGTTTTATATTCGTTACATCGGTAGCTTTTATTTTATCTTTTTAATTTATTCCTTCTTTGGATAGGAATGACACTTTTATCTACTGACAATTATAACACATGGTTAAACCGTATAAATTGGAGATGTTATAAATGAGTTCCAGGAAGTACAACTAAAACCTTATAGCTTAACTAAGTGTGAATGCATCTTATTAGATAGTTACTCTTTGAGGCTGGGGTGCAGGCCTTATAAGACCCCAAAGTGGAGAGGACACAGCTTATTTTAAGACACATACTTAAAAAGAATTATTATTACTATTATAAATCGGAGATCAAATACTTTGGTTTTCTGTGACCTAGCACAGTCCTCAACGCCTCTCCGACACCTCGATCCACATCTCGTCTGTCGGGGTCATGATAAAGCCGAACATGGCGTCCTCCTCCGGCTCTGGCACGGGGACACCCTCCGGCATGGCGAAGCGAAAGCCTTGCAGAAGAGCAGCAAGGAACAGGAAAAGATTTTGACGTGCGAACGTCTCTCCGGCACATAACCGCTTGCCTGGAATACAAAACCCGTTGAACTTCAGGATCAAATCAGTTATCCCAAGAACAGCTGTTGTGTTTTTCAATGATTGACATTTTGCAAACTGAATCAAAATTTTATGTATTCAATTTTCAAAAAGGTCCAAAATTTGTGGTCCATTTTAGTTCAAGGTGAGAAACATTTGGTTTGTGGCTCGAATATCAAACATCTGTTTAATCTAACTCGTTGCTTTTATTTGAAAGATAAAATAAATACTCAACACCGCTAACTTACCTAGCCCGAAAGACACGGTGACGTCCTTCTTTTTCAGCTGGCCGTTCTGCTGTAAGAATCTCTCCGGCATAAACTCGAAAGGTTTTTCGAACACGTTGGGATCCCGATGAGCAGCCCACGCGTTCGGGACGATGAGCGTGTTCTGAAGTATAGGAGACTGGGTGTTAAATCCGAGGTGATCCACCAGCGACCAGCGATCACCATTGCGGGGGCCGCCTGCGTAGGTAGGCAACCCAAGAAGCGCGGGAGCGCGATCGGTTGCCTACAGCAGCGGACACAGGGAGAGGAGACTATCGCTTATACCTTCGGGACGTAGTATCCTCGGAAATAGGAGTCTTCGGTAGCCCTGTGCGTGACCGCGAATGGCGTCCCCGTGAGCCGGAGTGTTTCCCTGAGGAACGCCTCGGTGTACGGCAAGCTGCGGAGAAGAAGCGTGCGTTAGGCGCTGTGTCCGAGAACGACGACGACGCCACTCGGTCGCGCTTTTGTCACGTACTCGACTCGGTCGTTGAGGTCAGGAAGGCGGTCCAGGCCCACCACGTCCTTGATCTCCTGGTGCGCGCGCTCAGCCATCTCCGGGTGGCGCATCATGAAGATGACGGCGAAGGTGAGCGCCGAAGGGATGGCCGTGGCCGCGGGGAATATGTAGTCCATGAGCGTGAGCACCATCTGCATCTCTGAAAGCAGAGGGACCTCCTGAGTACAGTAGGAAAGAATACAGTACAGAATAGAAACAACACAGTACGGGAAGTCCGCGCATCCAAATCAAAAACAAACGACGGCGATTATTGCGGGGCGAGTGCGAAGTCGACGCGTCGTTTTGCGTTATTATTATCACACGCTGATAAACCGCTTCGTGTGTGTGTGACACTTGCCTGTGAACGACGAGTCCTCCCCAGCGCGCTTCTGCATCTCCAACAAGTACTTGTCGCAGAAGCCGCGGATGATCTCCGAGTCGAACGAGTCCTTGTGATCCTGGACGTGCGCCTGGCAAACATTAGAAGCCACAACATGAAAAAAGCTCGTGCTCTCGTGGAACAGTAAAGTGTAGCCGACGTGCCCCTGATCATTTCGTAGTTATTTGCCGTTGGCCGACTGCCGCCGGGCACCCTCTAAGTTATACTGTACCGCATGCACGGGTGCGCGTGGGTTTGCCTATGCTTCTTGCCCACTGCTCCTTCTGGCCCCGTGCGAGTGGGCAACCCACCCTCTCGCGCGCATGCGGTCCAGTATAAAATGCGAAAGGGCACGGCGTGGGGTTTCTCCTCGCTCCCGGAGAGCGCCCTCCTCACCTGGATGAAGTGCATGAGGCCGTCGTTGCCGCCCTTGTAGGCCGTGTACCCGGAGAGGCCGGGAGCTACGAAGCGCAGCCAGGGCGTGGCGTCGATGGCGCGCCCGCCGGCGTTGCCCGCCCTCTGGAACTCCAAGACGTGGCGGGCCACGACGCGCGCCGCCGGGTACTGGTCCGGGGTCACCCGGGTGCCGGTCAGCACCGCCAGCGCCATGTTCATGGAGGCGGCGGCGAACACGTCCGGGAAGAGCACGCGGCCACCGCGCGCCACGTCCGCGTCGTGCGGCGTCAGGTTGGCCCGGAGCAGCTGCGTCACGCCCTGCACCTCCTCCAGCACCAGGGCCTCCAGCTTCTCGAAGCGCCGCCCGAAGCCGTAGTCGCGCATGTGGCGGAGGGAGAACCGCCGCTGCACCTCCCAGTACGGGCCGTCTGTGAAGAAGATGCCTGATCGGAGGGACAAGGGTCAGAACGGGGGCGTCCAGGTGCGTCACGGCGGCGGCCCCGGGGCCCAGGCTCACCGTGCAGACGGCCGAACGCCCGGACCCGGCCCGTGAAGCCGTCCGGCCGCCCCTGGAACGCCGGGTGCGAGAACATGTCGCGCACCGTCTCCAAGTCGTTGGCCACGACCATCGGGAAGTCACCGAGGAACAGTCCCAGCAGCGGGTTGCCGTAGTCCTTGGACAAGGCCGCCATGGCCTTCATGGGGTACTTGTTGTTCCTCAGGAGCAGCTGCCATAGGTTGCCCCACACGGGCAGGCGCAGAGGCCCTGGAAATGGAGATCGGTTCACGGTTGTTGCTTGGGTGACGGGGGGTGCACTCGGTCGGTAGTGCAACCCTCGCCCACTCACCTGGGGGGAAGTCTGGCGGCCGGGAGCGCGCGTAGCGGACGAGGCACGCCAACAGGGCGACGAGGAACAGGACGAGGAGGACGGGCGACATGTTGCTCCTGGGGTCGCTGCTCGACTGGCCTGGCCGCGCACTCGCTCCTTCTATTTACCAGAGCGCGCCGCCGATAGGAAAGGGGTTGTGGCGGGAAGCGAGCACTGCGCGCTCCGTTTGAAAGGACCGATAACGGTCAGCATTGATGTCTGCAGTAATAAATATTTTTGTGGCTTTCGGAGTTCATCGAGTCTCTTTATTCATGGTGACATGTGACTTTTATGACTCAAAATTGTAGGTACTTTGCACTTTTAAAAAATGACTAGTAAAGGAGAGGCGTACTGCCGTGACGGCTGTGTCGTTGCCATTTATTTAGAATATCGTGATTATGATTAACAGGGTCAGAACAACTTCTTTGTTTGCATTATATAATGGAAACTCTAATTTTGAGGCAAATCTAAGACTCATTGTTTGATGACCCCCGAACTTTTATTGCTAATTGCGGGCATGATGCGCCGCCGCTGCGCCACTGAGTCTCTCAATGAAAACTGGAGCGATTGGGCGAGCACATGACAGAGCTTCCGACAGAAGACTACGATGCTCTCAATAGATAACGCCTACCAAAGTCCCATTACCGTACCCGCAATTAAGTCTCCAGTCCATCAATTTCATCTTTCCCTCTTATTGTCGTTTGATCTTCCTGCCCGTCCTCTGGTGACCATACAACTCTTCTTTGCGGCTCGGTGTCGCTCTTTTCTTTGTCACACTTTTCTCTCACTGCGCTATCGCTGGCGCCGCGGCCAGCTCGGTCCGCTCATCCGGCCTGACTGTGGACGTCGTCCGCCTTGAGCGGCACCGCCTGGTACATCTCCACGGCCTCCTCGCGCTTGCCCCGCCCGGCGCCGGCGAGTCTCCTGCGCACCGCGCGCCCCACCGGCGGCGAGAACATCTCCGGGTCCGGCAGGTCCGCGAAGCCGCCCTTCTGGCCGCGCCGCGTGCGCACAGCCCGCACCAGCGCGCTCACCGCCGAGCCCACCGTGACCGTGATGGCCACGCCGATCACGACGAACAGGAACGGGGAGATGCGGAACAGCGGGAAGAGGTCCTCGTCGTACTCCACCCTGCTGGCGAGCGTCGGCAGGACCGGCAGCGGTGTCGACGGAGCGGTGGTGTTGGTGAGAGTGGCGCTGCGGACGAGAAGCAAGGCCATCATGGTGGGGACCCAGAGGCGCCCACCTATTTAGCGCGTCGCCGACACTACTCACTTGCATCCGTCAGTCCTGGTGGGCAGCATGGGGTAACGCAGTCTGCCGGAGTGCTTGGCCTGAAGGTTACCCAGCGTCACGACCGACATGAAGCCCAAGCTGGCGGAGGCCCCCGTCAGCGCACCCACCGACTCGGCCCAGGGCACGAACATCCCAAGCAGGAACAGGCCGAACGTGGCGCCCGTGGTCATGCCCGTCAGCGACAGCGCCACCTGGGAAGGGCGTGTTGTAGTTGCGAGGATCGAGTCGGAGAAAGCAGCGGCCCTCTCTTTCTTTCTTTCTTTGCTCTTTCAGGGCGTACGCTGAAAGCCATTTCGTACCTCGAGGATGCTGCCCAGCTTCTCAACGACCATCACGAGGAAGAAAATGGCGATCCCCTGAATTAGCGTGATTCCTTTGAGGTAGATGGCGGCCTGTTGCTCTGAGGGCTTCTTCGGGAGCCAGCCCTCAATAAAGTCCTTGTATACCGTGCCAGCCAGCGTGTTGAGGATGGAGGACACCGTGCTGCGGACGCAGGGGGAGGGCAGGGGTTAGACGTCTTTTCTCCCCCTCCCCCCAATACACCCCCAGCAGCGCTCAAGCTCACCTGAGCGAAGCGCTGAACACTCCGGCTATGAATATTCCGGATAAACCGGGGAGGTCCCTTGCGACATCCATGACGAAGTGCGGTACCATTTTGTCAGAATGCGACACGACCTAAAAAATTAACACTTCTTTTCTTTGCTATGCTAACTTGTTACTGGGTTTTTAAAAAAATACTTGAGAACAGAAATGCGTGGGACGAAAGCAGAAGTGATGACATTCAGAAAAATTATTTGCTGGGGCAACCAACCATTGTATGGTTAGGTCAGGGACGACCATAAAATATGGTCGAGACAAACATCACTCATTGGTCACAACTATATTTTGGGGCGCTTCACTTATGAATATTTTACATATTGCGTGATCCTTGAACTAGCCATATGTTATGATAGTTGCTACTGAATTATTTTTTCCTGGGTGGGTCTGGTACGAGGTAACCTTTCAGAGATTGAATGTCCACCCTGTTTTCTGATTCATGGCCATGAACCATTTTTTGCTCCGAGTCACATACACGCGATTCGTATCAAACCTTTTGCGCGATGGGGTCGCAGTCGAAGTAGTATGCGTACATGAGGGTGCCGGTGGCACAAGACAGGACGCGGGTTATCGTGAAGCCGGCCGCCAGCGTGTAGGCCGCCCTGAAGACACACAACGAGTCGAGTCGAATGGGTGGCCTATCCTCCACCACGCAGGCGCTGGGAGGCGCGCGACGACAGGACGGCAGTGTTACCTCTTCGCGGCGCCGATGGTGGG